TTAAACCAACATACGAAGTCGGTCCTGTTGTTTTGTTGCTAGCTACCGTTAGCTACTGTTAGCTACATTAGCTAGCAGTGGATAAACTCCGTTATTGAGCCTTTTCTCCCCCTACAGGAGCTGTTCCTGCGCCTGGTGCCCTACCACTGCCTGGGCTCTCTGTGGTCCCAGCGGGATAAGAAGGGGCGTGAGGGCGTGTGCTGGTCGGTGCGAGCCACCGTGCGTCAGTTCAACCGCCTGGCCAACGCCGTAATGGCGTCCTGCCTCTGGCCCGCCGCCGCCGGCCGCCCCAGGAGGGCAAGGCTGCTGGAGAAGTGGATCGGAGTGGCCGAGGTGGGTTGTATATTTTATTCACACGTTTTGATTAGGTCATGTGACTAGCGGATTTCTGAGGTGGAAACGGGACTTTGCTGTCTATACGAAATCGGAAGATAAACGATGTCCTAAACCTAACCCTGGCCCTAAACCTAACCTTCACCCTAATTCTGACCCTAAGCCTAGCCCTAAGTGGATTGGAGTGGCCGAGGTGGGTGGGGGGGAAAGCAGCAGAGGGGAGGAGGGAGGAGGAGGAGGGAGGGAGGTTAGAACCGGGCTATAGTTCCTCCCTTTAGCATCGTATGCTATCACATTTTTTGGTTCATTTGTACATTTTATTCACACGTTTTGATTAGGTCATGTGACTAGCTGATTTCTGAGGTGGAAACGAGACTCTACTGTCAATACGAAATTGGAAGACAAACGGTGTCCTAACCCTGACTCTAAACCTGACCCTAACCCTAAGCCTAACCCTGACCCTAAGTGGATCGGAGTGGCCGAGGTGGGTGGGGGGAAAGAAAGTCTGAGGGGAGGTCTGAGGAGGGGTGTTAGTTAGGGATGGGACGGTTTCTGAAAACCGTCCGAACCGTTGGGTTGGACTGTCTCGGTTCGGTTCGCGTGTGTTGTGTTCGGTTCCTGCTGCTCCTTTTTCTCAGAGGGAAGCTTTTACACTCCAGAGCAGAAGGGGGCGCTACTGCACCCAAAGCCAACCACCAGTAGGAAACAAGAAGAAGAAGAAGCAGCGTAGCCGATAAAAATCAGACCGCCAACAGCAGTTTCTAGGTCTGCTGTGTGGGACCACTTTGCATTTAGAGGGAAGCACATGCTGGAATTAGCACTGTTTCCTCTCTGGCAATGCCAGAATCTCACCTACTTTTAACCTAAGACTGTCACAATAATGTATCGAATGTCAGACTGCTTTTTTATTTCAGTTTTAACCTGACTATACAAGACATAATAGATTTTCCTAACAATCAACATAAACCGAACCGAACCGAAAACCGTGACCACGAAACCGTGAATCGAACCGAACCGTGGATTTTGTGAACCGTCCCACCCCTAGTGTTAGTCTGTAGGAGCCTCGGTTGGCCATTTTGATTAGGTCATGTGACTAGCAGCTTTCTGAGGTGGAAACGAGACTTTACAGTCTATACAAAATCGGAAGATAAACGATGTCCTAAACCTAACCCTGACCCTGACCCTAACCCTAAACCTGACCCTAATCCTAACCCTGACCCTAAACCTAAATCTAACCTAGACCCTAAGCCTAACCGTAACCCTGACTCTAACCATAACCATAACCCTAACCCTGGCCCTAAACCTAACCTTCACCCTAATTCTGACCCTAAGCCTAACCCAGACCCTAACCCTGACCCTAACCCTGACCCTAACCCTGACCCTAAGTGGATCGGAGTGGCCGAGGTGGGTTGGGAGAAAGAAAGTCTGAGGGGAGGAGGGGGGGAGGGAGGTTAGAACCGGGCTCTAGTTCCTCCCTTTAGGATCGTATGCTATCACATAGCCCATGTAAATGACTGGACCTGGACATTAATCCTAACCCTAACCCTAATCCTAACCCTGACCCTAAACCTAACCTAACCCTGACCCTAAACCTAACCCTATATGTAGTTGAGTAAAAGTGAAAGTAAAAGTAGTATATACTTCAATAAAGTACAGATACTGTATTTTGGTACTTAAGTAGCTCTTCTTCATTACTGTACATCTCTGTTCAAATTGTTATTGGAACATATGGAACAAAAGCTGTTTGTGGTCCATTCCATGCAAACCAAAGGAAAGGGCATCAACAAGAGCCTAAGATTAAGATTTTGGTCGTCCTTGGTAGATTAGCTAAAATAATAATAATGCGAGGAAAGACATGGTCATATAAGATTAAATGACAAAGCATATATACAAATAATACATAAATGACACCAAATCATGAATATACAAATGTTCTTAGGCCTCATGCCACATTAGTAGGAGGTGTATAAGACTCTCTTCAATAGGAAGTGATATGATCCAAGAAATAGTCCCAGATTAGTGTAACATTGGACACACAAAAGATTTCCAGTGTCTTAATATGACTCTATGTTGTTCGTACCAGAACAACAAAGAACTTAATTATTATTATTATTATTATTATTATTATTATTATTATTATTATTATGTATACTTTTTATTTATTTATGTATTTATTTATTTATTTATTTATAATTGATATTATTAATATTAATTTGTTATTTAAAATAGTTTCCCTCTGCGATTATTAAAGTATTTATGATTCTGATTCTGATTGTTAAAGTTGGAGTTCCAGTTTTACCTCCCAGTGAACAGAATCCTGGAGACATCGGTGGAGATATTCCTGCCCGTTCCTCCAAATCCTTTAAATACTGAATCTGTCTGTGATTTCCAACAGGAGTGCAGAGCCCGTAAGAACTTCTCCTCGCTGTACGCCATCGTGTCGGCGCTGCAGAGCAGCCCGCTGCACCGACTCCGGAGGACCTGGCAGGACACGGACAGGTGGGGTTAGGGTTTAGAGACCAAACCAAACGGGTTCACACCGGGGGGGGGGATAAGAGACATTAAGAAACATGGCCCGGAAGTGAGAAGACAAACAGCCAGACACACAAAAGCTGGTTGATATAAAATAAATGGATAAAAATACATTTATATCAAATAAATTGATAAAAATGTATATAATATAAAAGATAAAATAAAATAAATTGATAGAAAATAAATTGATAGAAAAAATTATAATGAAATAAAATAAAAATGAAATGGTTGATACAAAATCAAATAAATAAAAAGCATATACAAAACAGTCAGACCAGCAGAAAAGCTGGTTGATATCAAATAAATGTATATAAAATAAATTGATAAACATAAATTGATAGAAAATAAATTGATAGAAAGTAAATTGATAGAAAAAATTATAA